CTATCACCTATAAATAAAAGAAAACAGAACTTAAATTTATCATATAATGCCATGAAAAAATCTTAGATATTACAAGCATATAGTGAACAAATTCACTAAAATAAGTTAAGTTATGCTACAATAAGAGGATGGCAATATATGACAACATCAAATGTTACCACCTTCAGTGTCCAAAAAAAGTGCCGCGCGCATTTTTCGTGGTCGCATAACTGGCATTGCCACAAACCCAGGTGAAAAAGCAATTAGAAAAACCTGGTTTTGGGTGATGAGCATAGTCAAATTCTTGACTTATTCAATTTTCTAAGTTTTTCCAGGTAAACAGATCCAACATTGAAATAAGCCCCATTCGGGACCTCATAGGGTCCAAAATATTGTGTATGGACCAGATTTTTTTCAATTTTCTGTGATTTACATAACACTAGTTATAATTTAAGGCTCAACCAGTATTGTTCAAGACATATTTTCCTTCCAGAACACCTTTTCAAAATACTAACCCAAGCATGTCAAAAATAGTGTACATTTACAAGGGCAATTTCAACCCTTTGGCACATTTTCCCCATGAATGATTTTAATTCTAATATAAAGACTATAGATAAAACTTTGATTTAAAGCTAGTTTCAAGTGATGAGCATACCCTAAATTTTAAGCTATACCTCAAAGAAGATAGGTCATTTCAACATAAACATTGAAATATGGGTATACTGTCAGCTCTGTCACACGTGTAGTTTGACATTAGCAGCCCTTCTGAAACATTTTAATGAAAGTATAATTCACAAAATTCACATTTTCACTTACTTCTTAACATCTGTTTTAATCCAACTAGCTCTGTAGGCACGAGCAAAGTTTAGTGTTGTCAACACTGTGTTGATGTAAATATCCATTTTGTTCATGTTTCCCCGGTGAAAATATAGTCCATTCCAACGCTGATTTCGACGTACTTTAGCTTTTCAGAAACCGTTGGCCTTCCTCAGTGAGATTATCGACTGTTTCACAAGCATATTTGATGGTAAACAGCTAAAATATTCTCCGAAAGTCTATATTTTTGCTCTTCGACGCGAAAATGTCAACTCAAGAAGAAATGAGCCGCTATTTTTGGTCAGCGTCGACAAATTGCCTACCTGTTGAATTCAACCCTACCCTTAATACGTATTTCGCCCCAGTTTCCATACGCGGCCAAACGTGATACCTGCTTCGCCATAAAACGCCATATCTAAGAGAAAATGTTTTTAATAATAATAATGATTTGGAACTAGTAATAAGAGACATCTACTGTACCTGACTCGCAGGCAGTCGTCCAAGCTATAAATGATACATTATGAAATACGGGGTACGAGCATAGATATCTTATATACACTGGATAGTGCATCTAATTATTCTGCAATTCGAAAATTGAAGCCGTGATTGCAGACTCAGGATATTCCCATGAAATGAGAAGACTCGTATGTTTTCTATTTCTTAAACAGGGAACTTAAACATTAAGTTAAACCTATTCTAAGATACATTTTCAAACTATTCAAATGATGAAAGTTATTGTTGTTTTTTAAGCGTTTATTAGTGAGTGGGAAACTCCAACATGGCCGCCATCTATTCAAATGGGGGTAACCGCTGGAATATTCTTGGCTTCAATTTTACTAAAAGAGATGGGCTATCTAGTATATATAAGATATCTATGGGTACGAGTCACTAACTGTACCTCATCAAAGACTTTACTTGGTGTTCACAGCTGTCGCACGTCAGTTCTTTATGAAGCATCTTTTCAACAACCTCTTTCAGATGTAAACTGGCGATAAGGAAAACAGCGGCTGAAATATAACAGATGAAATTTAGTTTGCCCATGTTTTATTTTCATAGGTTTGTTTTCGTAAATGTGTGTTTAGCATCATATGGCATCTGCATGTACATGCATTTCCGCCGGCGTCGCTTTTAGGTACTTTAATACATCAACGACTCTCTCATTGTCTTTCTAGCATTCCAGCCCACAATCTTTTATTCTTGCACTTTTCATTCCTTACTTCCCTTCTTGCTTGTTTGTTCGTTCGTTTGTTTAATTGTTTCTCTCAATTTTTCTTTTCTTCTTCCTTCTTTTCTTTCTACCTTTTCCTTCCTTTCTTTCATTCATTCATTCATTCATTCATTCATTCATTCACTCACTCACTCACTCACTCATTCATTCATTCATTCTTTCTTTTCTGCTGTTCACACTCAGTTGGTTTAAAAAGGCATTTAATGCAATTGAGTACCGCCTAGCCTAAAGCTGAACACACCTGCAGTGGAAACTAGTTCCTCCAATGGATTTACCAAAAGCTCCCAAGCCAGAGGTATGATGTCTAACAATAAAGATGGCTCCATTACCACAGCACCTTTGATCATTACGGACATAGGGCAATTGAATAAACTTCGAACCTGCAAAATGAACACGTTTTCTGATATATTTCTGAAACAAAATTGAGCAGTGCTTATGACTCATTATTTAGAAGCATGATTTCTATAGTTTAGTGTCTTAACCAACGGCAAAGCCTGTTCAAATAGTGGGGCGGATAAGTGAAAGTATTGTGCATTTTGTGAAGAAAGCACCATATTGACAGGATGGGTAGACTTTGGCGCAAGTATGAATATCAGATATGGAGGCATCCGTGAAATTAACGCTAAGAGCCAAAAATTTGGAATTTCTGACATTTTATTATAAATTTCTATTACTGATAGAAATTTAAAATTCCAAGGTAGCTCACAGAGAAAATAAGTTGTATGGTTGAAACGTACACAAAAAAACTGTCTATAGAACATTAAAGCAGTTCTTTGATTTTCCAAATGTTTCCTGAGCTGCAACCTGTTAAAAAAGGCGATTTGAAGCTAGTGCCAGTCTTTGCACCTATTTTGTAACTATCTTGTACGATGTCGAAACTGATTAACTTAAAAACGACTTGCCAAATAAAAAACTGCTTTAATTTTCTATAGACGTTGTCGACAGTTTTTTGGGTACTTTTCAACCATACAACTTCTTTTTTCTGCGAGCTACCTTCAGTAGGCTAATAGAAATTTATATTCAAATATCAGAAATTCAAACTTTTTAGCTGTCAGCGTTTATTTCACAGATGCCTCCATATCTGATATGCATACTTGTGTCAAAGTTTACACATACTGTTAATATGTTGCTTTCTTCACTAACTGCACAATTATTGCAAAATTGTGCGCTTATCCGCCCCACTAAAATGGGTTTAAGGGCAACCTAATGTCGTAAAAGAGCAGTAATAGGGAGAATGTTGTTAAACAGTTGCATTCGCCTCTGTAATATTTTTTTATGGTAAATTAATTATTTCACGATTTCCCTCAAGTCATGTTATTACTCATGGAAAAACTCTTATACGTTACGCGAGACGATATTGTAGTTAGTGCTACAATTATACACCTTATATATACACCTAATATGGCCTAGCAAATTTGCAATGTGCATGTGTGTGTATTCAAATACCACCATGTACTTTTATTTCTAGACCAAGAAAATATTGCACAAGAGCAAATTTAGTAGAAACCATCACTTTTAGATGCTGCCTAAATAGTAACATGCAAACTTACTATATTATTTCATATACCCGCGTTTGAAATTCTTAAATTTTCTTGCTTTAACTTACTACAATGCATATACCCCTGTACATGTAACCACAAAAATACATTTGAATCACAGTACTGCACTTATTTACGAGATATTTTGTTTTTTTGTTGTGTTATTAAAAATACTATTTAAATTAGAAATTTAGAATTCCGTATAGTAATTGACAATTGAGAAAATTAGCCAACCCAGTTTCTTTATATTTCACATGATACTACAGAATTGGTCACGAGTACTCACACGTCAGAGGACTGGGAAAATTTTGATTAAGTCCTTTAAAAGGACAGGACATATCACTGAATGCGATTAGAAGGACGATATAAAAATTAATAAAATTTCAATTCCTCTAAGCTCGCTCCAGTCTCAGACGTCGCCTCAATAGGCAATTCCAGCTTTTAATTTATACACGCAGGAGGGGATGGGAAGTAAGGTATCATATTGCTGATTATGCTGAAAAAGTTCAATAACAACTGCCGAAACAACCGAAATATTTCAATATCTACAAGTATAAGCTATCACTCCGTGTTTACACGGCCGCCATTTTTATTGTTTAGCATAATCAGCAATATGATGCCTAGCCTGCGTAGCAGGCGTTCAGCTGACGGGCGGGAACTGAGGGAACGCCTGCCCAAATTGGCTATGACAATTTGTTTTCGCCCATTAAGGATGATTGACGTTTTGTAATTAGCACCTTCACCCATTATCCAATCATAGTCGAGATTTATATTTAGCATCATGCATGCTTTTTGCTCGGCAACTACGGAGATTTGCAGAGATTTTATGCACTATTTAAAACACGAGCAGCAGTGTTTTATCAGATATAAAGATGGTCTGATAATACACGCACTGCGAATGTTTTAAATTGCTTCTAGTATACGTTCATTGGCGATGTAGCTTTCAAAAAATTCGGTGTGTATATGTAGAGAAAATCATTAAAATTTATGTAAATCAAGGGAAATCTCTATCACATATCAAGGATACGACACGTTTATGATTTTTCTTTGTGTTTTCCTCATGAATTATTAATGAGTTTTTGAAGCTATTTTAGACAACAGTCAGTCACAACGTGCACAGAGCTTTTATCTTTTAAAAGACTCCTGAACCACGGTTGTTTAACGTATTCTGCCGTATAGCAAATATAACAGTTGAGCATGTTTTGAAATGTTATTCTTAAAATCATCATTCAACCTCATAGCTGCAATGCCAAGTTTAAAGTGAACAAATAACAAGACAACTATATTAAAGAAATATTCAGGATATATTTAAAATGTATAATTGAAAGATCAAACTTTTCCGTATTCCTAGGAAGAATCGCGATAACCGGCGTCTTCACCACGTAGCAAATTAATAATATACTTTCTCTGTTCTGGTTCAACTGAATTTTGAAGCCTAAATACTTGAAATATAAGAAAGTTTCCTCGAAAGCATTAACAGGCGGCATATTTTTGATACGCGACTATAAACGCATCAACGCGAGCAAAATTATTGTTGACATTTGAGTTACGTAATTACTTCCGTTAACGAGATTAACCAATGGGAAGCTTTTCCGAAGATTCTTCGGAGAAGAACAAATTAATCATAGGCATTTGGGCAGGCGTTCATTTAACGACGCCTTTTCTTCTCCCGCCCGCACTAAACGCCTGCTACGCAGGCTATATGATGCCTTACTTTCCATCCCCCTTGCGCGCGTAAATTAAAAGCTGGAATTGCCTATAAATACTAGAAGTCCGACCCAATACCCTGTTTCGTACCTACAACACCACACATCTTGCACGTCTTACCTTTTCACTCACATACATTATCATAATCTTGTCTCGTTCTTCTTTCTGTTTAATCGTTAATTCTTTCGTGCTTAGCTTACACTGTCTGCCTTTATCGCTTTCCAATTTCCTGCTGGTATTGCCCGCCAGTTGGCTAACCGGTTTGGAATAAATTGTCTTCAAGGCGGACATAAACTTAACACAGCTTTGAGTTTGCCGTCGAATGCAGCCTGGCGCACACACGTCACGGTGATCGCAAATAAAATTCGTCGACCCGCTGACCATAGCAACAGCTTTAAGCCAAGGAAACTTTGTAACCTCATCTTCTTCGTTATCACTGTTATCAGATGCATCACTCGTCACACGGCCAACAGTTTTATGCACTATATAATGTAATGTTTAAAGCGTTGGTCAAACGAAGTTGAGAAGCAGCAAGAGTTGCAAATACTGTGTGACAAGCCTGCTCACAATACACCAATTCGACATAGCGAGTATAATTAGGGACTGAGCTTTAGCATCACTTTCGCATCACTTGCAAAATATTTCTGGGATGAAAGTCAAAGAATTAGGCGTATTATTTTTTTAAAGAAGAATTAGAAATTTTTTTGACAGGTCCGGCGTGGGCAAAAAAATGAAAATTTCTTGACAGGTCCGGGGTGGGCAAAAAAATGAAAAATTTTTTACAGGTCCCGGGTCCGGGGTGGGCAAAAAATGAACATTCTTTGATAGGTCCGGGGTGGCCAAAAAGATGAAATTTTTTTGATAGGCCCGGGGTGGGCAAAAAAATGAAAAATTTTTTACAGGTCCCGGGTGGGAAAAAAAATGAAAATTTTTTGATAGGTCCGGGGTGGGAAAAAAATGAACATTTTTGATAGGTCCGGGGTGGCCAAAAAGATGAAAATTTTTTGATAGGTCCGAGGTGGGCAAAAAAATGAAAATTTTTTTATTGGTCCGAGGTGGGCAAAAAAATGAAAATTTTT